CATTCCTGGTGCCCACTGTTCTTTACCCCACAACAACAAGTGTTATTTCTCCGCCCTGAGCAGGAGACGGGGGTGTCTATGCAGACACAAGTCCCACCAGCCAGGTCAACGAAGGGCAGACATGCTGTGCAAAAGGGCAACCGCGTACCTCCTCCATTGGTGTAAGCCCTGTATGGGAACCTCCAGACATTTCCAAGGCCCACGCAGTACCCAATGCAGGAGAGGAGGAAATCCAGCCGCCCCGTCCAGTTCCCTCTGTCTTCCGGGTACGCCGAGCCCAGGTCCCCGTCCTGACTACTTGGGCTCACCAGGAGGTCCGGTGTTACAGGCTAAACAAGAGAGTAGACCAACGGGAAAGGGCAGGAAGGGACAACAAGGGAAGGAAGAAAAGCAGGGGAAGAAAAGCAGGAGAGAGGGAAGGGGCCAGAACACCCAGACAGCAGGCATCAGGGAAGAAGTGCTGAGATTTGGAGGTCGAATTTGTGCCCCTGAGTCACAGCATTGACATTTGTCCCCTAGGGAGCCCCCGTCCAGGCAGCAATCTGTGCCCCACCAAACCTGCATTCCCAAAAGGCTTTTAGTTATAATTCAAAGCAGGTCCATGTCCTGCTCTGGCTCTGAGTGAGGAAAGAGGATAAACTCGATGACGCATGACCAGAGCTCCCCTGGGAAGGCAGAATGACCTAGGTTCCCCTTGGGAGGCCAGGACTGATCTTGCAACCCCAGTTTCCCAAAAAATAGTTTCACAGGGTCACAATAATCTTTTCTGATCTCCTGGAAAACACGGGAGTGAGGAAGAGCCATCTCAGGAGCGTGGGGGAACGTGGTACCCACAGCCCCCACGCACCCGTGCCGTGCAGGGCACTCGACTGCCATTAAATGTTAAGTGTGTTTTTCACACTTTTCCAACTGCCGAAAGCCTGCCGTGTGGGGATTTAGTGATGTGGTCCCTGCGGAGCAAGCTCCTCTCCACGCTTTTCTGATCTGCCCCTGATCAGTGACGCTCAGGCAGCTCTTCAGCAGGCAGGGGATTAACCCGTTCCCTTCCTCTCTGGATCCCTCCTCTCTGGATCTGGAAGAGGGAGGTGTGAGCCATGCCATACATTTGGGCTGGGGCAATGCACCAGGAAGGCTCCTCAGCGTTTGCGCCTGTGCGCACATCTGCAATGGGATGTTCGGTACTTCCACCTTCCCCGGCTGCCTGCCCCTGGGTGCCCGGGGAAGCGATTCCTGCT